ACCCCAGTTCTGTATGCACAAATAAATAAATCTTTAAAAAAATTTTTTTCAAAGCAGCTCAATTTTCCCTAGACATCTTCACCTTTATTATCTCTCCCCACCATTACCTCATCCTGATAAGGAGACCTTGTAACGATCTGCAAAAAGAAAAAACGCTAGCACAGAGGGTACAAGTCACTTATGCTGCGGTAATCACACAGCATTGGGCAGCAGAGCACGAAGGAAGGAGGTGCCTGTGCTCTGAGGAGGCCTGCGGGGCTCTTACCCAGAAACATCTTCATCTCCCTCTGTAGTGGAAGGGCCTGCTGGGGGAAGTCCCGAATCCTTTGGCCCAGCTCAGGTGACACAGCCTCTGGTTTCCGGCACTTTCTGGTTTCACATCTAGAGGCACAGAAATGGCCGGGTCTGGGAATTAGCCTCCTTAGCAATGCCTTCAGGCCATCCAGCTGTCTTCTCCTAGTTGGACAAGTTAGGAGTCTAGAGTGGACCCCACTGTCCCCTCTTAGGCAATACTATTCAGGGGTGTATATCTAAGCTGAAAGTGGGCATGCATTTGAGTAGAAACTACCTGCAGTTTTTATCCTAAGTATGAGAGCGCTGTACGTTTGCATAGCAGTAACTAGGATGTGGTGCATGTATGTGGGAAAAGAGAACAATTCCATCACTTACCGTATTAGAGTGCTTCTGATATCCTAGGAAAAAGAGAGAGGGCAGGGGTTCAGTTTCCAACCTCCTCTATCCACTTTTCTTATAACTAAAAAAAGACAAAATACCATATTTCTAGCTCTGGATAGAAAAAAGACACCAGGTTTGTATGTGGAACATAGAGAAACCGAAGAAAGGGTTAAACAAAAACAAACTTTACATCTGCCCTTTGACAACAGTTCTTCTTTGAGGCTTCCAGAGAAGGAGGAGGTGGAGGAGGGGTGAGAACAGGATTAGGAGGGAGAACAATGGACTATTATGAAGGACTGTGGTGGGAGCAGAATGGAGACTACACCCAAGGGTGAACTCTAATGCCTCCAAAAACACCTTTAACAAGAATTTAAAGTAATGGGAAATGAGGGGGGAAGGATACCAGTTCCATAAACTCACAGCATTGGGGGCTTCACAAAGCTTCAGGGCACTTAAGCTCAACCCTTTATTTTATAGACCCATATGGTAGTGACCAGCCCCAGTTGGTCAGAGGCAAAGGCAATTCCCACCCCAAGGTCTCAGATTCTCAGTACTAAGTCAGGCTGCCTTTCTGATGCCTTGTTGGGACACCAATCTCTCCCCTCCATTGCAAGAAACTGAAATAAACTAGGAGCTACTTGATTGGTGGAAGGTGACGTAAAGACAGTTTGCTTTGAATGTAGCACCTGACATTTGCTTGCACAATTGTTGACGCTTTTCAGAGGCATACTTTCACTTGCATTTTATTGTTGGGTCCCCACAAGGCCCTTGCAAATGAATGAGGAAAGAATCTTCCCTATTTGATGGTGGGATGGGGAGACTGAAGCCAGGAAGTAAAGTGACCTGGGGAAGCAAGAACTAGAATTCAGGACTTCTGCTCCTCTGACACATTTTCCATTTGGGGTGCAGAGATGTTTGCACGAAGGAGTGTGGGCTCAGAACAGGTGAGGCTGCAGTGAATCAGCCAGGTGGGCGGGGCCGAGCCAGGTCTCACCGTCAGCAGCTCCCTCGCTGGTTTCTCATTCTTCTCCTCCAGTTCTGCAATCAGAGAGCTAAACCGACAGATCTCACCAGTGACCAGGACATCAAACTCATCCCTTTGCTTTAAGATGTCCCCATCCAGTTTCTCCAGCTGGGCTAGGAGGATGCTCTGCTGTTCCTCCAGGATCTGGCTCAGATGTGCAAACTCAGAAATCACTTTTTGTCGCTTGGTGGCCACTTGAGTCTGAGGGGACAGGAGGAACAGCCAGGAAGAAGTTATTCCCCTTCCTTCTTCACTTTCTTCCTCCTTTCTTCCCCTCCTCCCTTTCTGTTTCCTTAGTTTATCTGACCCAGATGCACATCCTCTAAGGCTGAAATCAGAGCCCCCACCCTGCTGTCTGGGTCCCCAAACAGACTGGGGACTGTGGTTGGTTTCCTTTCTACTCCATGACATTTCTGGGAGCTAGACCATCCAGGCTGCAACTTCTAAAAGAGAGGGGTTCAGCAGAGGTGTGTGTGTGTGAGGGGGGGGTGATGCCCCACCGCCCGTCAAGTCGGTACAGTAGTATAATCTCCACTTCACAGATAAGTCAATTGAGGACAGAGAGTTGCTTGAGGTCGCTGATCTGGTCTGAGTTAGTGCTCAGTCAGGACTCACATGCAGATGACTCCAAGCCCGGTGAGCCTGGGTTCCGGGAGGGCCCTGAGCCCTGGGGCAGGGGTGGGCTTGAGGGAGGGATGATCCCTTACCAGGAGGACTTGTATCCTTTGATTTTCTCTGGACTGGATTCCTTGAATCTCATCTCTCTCTTTTCTTAGACTCTCAAGACACTTTTGAATTTGTTCCTGGAGAAAAAGATAGAAATTAAGAGTTGCTGAGAGGTTGATACTTTCCAACTCTGTGAGAGGGGGTGACTTTGGGGATGGGGTGACCCAAGGGCCAATGCCTGGGCCTGAATCGCCCTTGATGGCTTACTCTCTTCGGGTTTTGTTCCTCTTGCCTTCATCCTCCACGAATTTGGATCAGAACTCTGCCCCTCTATCCTGTGCCATCACAGGCTGTGACTTGCTTTCACCAGAGCCTTCCTTATTCCTGGGTAAACAAGCTAATTGCTTACCTTTGGCTTACCTTTGGCAAGTGGTATCTGGGGTCTGTCCTGAGCTAAAAATAACCTTCTCTGAACCTATTTCAACTTGCTCACATGTCCTAAAAAGAACATCTTCAAACAGGCTTCTTGGTGGATGGAATAATTTTCTGTATATGATTATGGGTGGAGATTTGGAGCTACAATAATTGGTGAATTGTTTTAAAAATTGCATGCTGGCCCTCCCTGGTGGCATAGCAGGCTAAAGCGCAGCACTAAGTGAGCCGCAGCTGCTTCAGTGTGAGTTCAATCCCCAGCCCAGGAGGTGATCACATGGCGCAGGAGACCTCTCCTATCTCGCCCGCTGCTCCCCTCAGCCGTGTACAATCTGCCTGTTCTGCTCCCCGCTCTGTCTCTGGTGAATCCTCTCACCGCCCCTGCACCTCTGGCCTGTACCCCAGTTCTGTATGGATAATAAACAAATTTTAAAAAATTATTTATTCGTACAGAACTGCGGTGCTGGCCAGTGCAGGGGCGGTAAGAGGATTCACCAGAGACAGAGTGGGGAGCAGAAAAGGCAGATCAACAAAGTACACTGCTGAGGGGAGCAGCAGGCGAGTCAGGAGAGGT